GACGCTCCATGGCTATCTGCCCTTCCTTCCGTGACAAAGGGTGGGTAAATGGGTACCTTCACAAGGGAAGTAGACAAGTGGTAACTTCAGGAGTCTACTATCGTAAAGTGAAGACATTTGAAAGGGAGATTTAAAATCGTCTGCACCATGGTATCTTCTTCTATTAGAAAGTACGATTGACGTTCACCCACTGTCATTCTCATTTCAATTTAAAAGACGAAAACTTTGTTATACTCTTCTTACACATTCACGGAGCCCAATAATTTATTTTGAGTATATCGCGTTATGTTATACACCTTGTGTTTTACGTTTTCCCAATGAACCAAAGAATATGAAGTGCGATGAATTGAAGATAAAACACAATATGATATACCTGTAAGAGCACGTCCACGGTCTTAAACCCAAATAACATTGATTATTATTGACGAGAAAGCGATACAGATTCTGTATTCATCACCAAGGCGTAAGAAAAAGTCACATTTCAAGGACGAATTGAGATTCGTTAATATTCAATATTGAATTGACAGAATGTCTCTTTGCTGTAAGTTTGATAAAGGGCAAGGAAGAGCCAAAAGGTATTCACGTCAACTCGACTTTGAGGAGGTTGGAATGTCAGACATTATATTGGACAGTTCGAGAAGGAGGTGTGGGGAGAGCATAGATGGAGATGGATAGAGAGCATAGATGGAGATGGATAGAGAGAGAGAGAGAGATAGAGAGAGAGATAGAGAGAAAGAGGGGGGGGGTGAATGATGGGGAAAATTAGATAGACAGATATATAGATAGATAGAGAGAGACCGAGAGAGGAGAGAGAAAGTAAGAATGAAGAAATAGAGAGACTGAGCGACACACACGCACGCACAAACACACGCACACACATACGCACACAAATATGGAGATTGCGGTTAGTGTGTGTATGGGGGGAGGCTGCGATGATTAAAACAGTACTCTAGGCTGTCGCTGCAATGTGCAGCAGGCGATATGACTGTGATGCTGTGAGACTTTTCTTAATTTAATCGGTCGCAGGTGCACTGGACTACGAATCGAACAGTCCATGGAGATAGATAGATAGAAAGAAATAAAGATAGATAGATTAAATGAGAGTGAGAAAGAATGAGACGCTTGAGAAAGAGAGAATGAAAGATAGAGATGATCACCTCTCCTCCCACTCTTGCCTTTTGTCTATCTTGACTCTTATTCCAAGCCAGTCCTGTGAAGCAAGTGCGTATAAGCCCAACGGGAGTTCGACGGGACGTCCCAGAATGTACCGCTGAAATCACCTGCAGAAAGTTGAAGTCCACCGCATCAATCACTGGAGAGGAGAATAATGTGACGTCAAGGATATAGTTTGGAGGTGTCTACAGAAAGAGAGAAAGAGCGAGAGAGTGCGTGTCTTACAGAAAGAAGAATTGGAAGACTACTTACTAAAAAGGACGCTGAGAGTTAGTTAGAGAAAAAAGAAAGAGAGTGATCGTTTGAAACAGTCTTGGAGTATGCGGTGAGGAAAGATGTGCTTTGGGTTTTAATAGGCCATACAATAAGTGTTTTATCGTCATCTCAACGTTAAATGGACATTATGGCCATTTGACAATACATGGTGATAGTGTCCTTTTGGCCCAAAAGCCGACGTTATATTCTATCAATTTCCGAAAAGCCCAATTCGGGATTAATCCTTCTCAGACAACAAATTAAAGTTCGAACATTCTAGGATCGCTAGATGAAATGGCTTATTACGAATCGAACTAATAAACTGCTCACATTAGTTGCGGTTTAACTAGCAAGCCCTTTTTATTGAACGCCTACGTCGAATTTGTCTATCGTGGTTATTTGACAGCATACATCACACCCGGGAGAGGATGGGATGTATCCGTGCTAATAAAACTACATATTCTATAATGTATATGCTACAAAGATAAATTTCTTTTCAACGAGACAAACACGTTACCTGAAATCAATAAGCAGCTGTTGTGCTACAAGTATGTTATCCCATGATACTCGAATACCTTTGAAGTGAAACCGGTATTAGGAAATAAATAGCGTGGAGCGGAAAGCTTGTTCCCCCTTGTTCATAAATTGACCCGATTTTCCATTTGTTACAGCTGTATGAGCTAGAGAGAAAGAGAGAGGGAGAAAGAGAGAGAGAGAGTACAGTTTTAATTAATCAGTAAAGGTATGGCGTAAATTGCCTTTTTCATTGTTTGCAGTTTCAATATCCAATTCAAAGGGATTGCTTAACAATAACAAAAGCCTCGAAATTACATATGTTGCCGTATATATATCCTTTGATCAAGTCTTGTAGAGAAATTATTCGCTCCATCCGGTATATTATCTAATAGCGTCATGCTGGTATATACATTATAAAATTATTGTACATGTTGTAGCCTATATTTTGTGTTAATTGCCTCATAAACTACAATATTTATACTGTTACCCGAAGGAGTTGCTTTAGAAAAATCAATATACAAAAATAAGGACAGACTGGTTGATCCAGGGATCAGAGAACAGACGGATAAATACGCCTACGATTAAATCGGTTAGGGGAGAGAAGATAGAAATACACACATCATACAAAAGCACCAGACATTATAATGAGACAGAGACGGAGATCTAAAATATCTTACATTTAGATAGAGAGAAAGAGTCAAAAGTCTTATTGGGTGGTATTCTCATAAGTTAAGCCTGGACTAAGTCCAGACTAAACAAGAATTTTAGTTCACACTTCTATGGAATGCTAGGTTTCATCTTCCTCCTTCAATATTCATGACGAAAGATAATCTACCAAAGACTTTGTTGAAATTCAATTCATACTCATATTATCTTTTTCTTCCCATTTCATTGCAAAATTAATTTTTTGGACACTTTTCATTGAAGGATTAAAATAATCTGTACAGGGTAAATTAGTTTGCAACAGGCACTCCATAAAAGTGTGAACTAAGTACGCGCTAACTTAGTACGCGCTACCGGAATACCACCCATTATCTACTAATCAATATACCGCACGGATTTTAAATAACAAGATATTATAAAGTACTTATCGGATATAGTCCTGTCAATATTTGTTTATAATTATACAAGGATTAGACTGCGATTGCATGTATTGTTATTAAGCTTCGGGACAAATTGTTATTGCGAAACGTGTCACCATCGTTGTTTCATTTGATATGAATATGCCCTTCACTGATGAATCAAGACAGCAGAGTAATAACATGGAAAGTACCTCACAAATGACATAGGCATACTTGAACTTGATCGATATCATAATTCAACAACAGCGTCAGTTGTAACAGTAGCGTTGGTATATATTTCCTCTCCCGTTTTCTTGGTATTTCATTCCCGTGCCGATTGTTTAATCCCAACACAGCAAGATCGACTATACCAAGGAGAGAAATCAAGCACGAGGTCATAGCAAATTATGCCTCTGCTTGAGGCTTATCGAATGAGCGTAAATTTGATTTACACAATATAGCCTGGCCTCGAACTTGAGAAAGAGGTTCTTGATTTGCAACACACCACGTGACGGGTGTCCATTTGCATTTCCATGATCAATTTCAAAACACATCTCTACTCCACGAGGAGACATTTTTGAAAACGTAGGACAGGAATGCAGCAAATCATCTTAATCTGACAGATATATTGACATGAAAGAAAGCAAAGACATTTTGGAAAAGGCGAAATATATTGCGACGATGATGATAAGATGCGTATAAACAAGATTAAAGTGAAATATCAAGACCTATTATGCTTTTAGGTATTGAGATACCACTCTAAAAAATCACATTTATGGGGAATATCTGAATTTGTCTTAAATTTGAAGTTTAAAGTGTACTTTCAAGACTCTCATACTCTTGGAAATGTCTTATAAATATCCATCCGTTGAAAATGTCAAACATACCAGAGTAATGAGTATAAATGTAAGAGACTGGTACTTGGAAAAACACTTTTATATGCACATTGAGTCTTCACGAATTTAGGAAAAAGCTTTCATGCTCATTTGTCTTAAAAGCTTCCGTCTTCAAATCTCCCATTAAAGCTGCTAAAAGGAAAACATTCCAATACTTTAAAGATAATGATAGAAATAAAGTGTTTGCTCCTCGTCTAATCACCTCTCTTGAAGGTTAAGCGGTAGAGGTCTAGCATCTTATTGATTATCTTGATATTTCTCAATTTCCCTAAAAGAAACACACATTTTACACATGTAGAAAGATAATCACACTGCTGCATTTTATTAAGTTTGAAAAGATGCAAAGTCTAAGATTATACAAATCTGATTTTCAGCAAAATGAAGGAAAAAATGACCGAAATAGATATCATAACAATTGAAAAAGCGTCTTATCTATTTCTAGATGCCCGAGCTGCATGGTCTTTACTATATTACAGGCGGATCCAAGTGGTATCCCCCTCTTAAAAAAAAATTAAAAGTTGCAAAGTCGCTATACTTTGCATTTAATACCCAAGGATCATAAACTTTTGATGTTTTAAAACGGTTCACCCTTATCTGACAAACCTGAAATTACCATAAAACCGCTATAGAACATATTTTTAAGTACTTCCTGACGCAGTGTTTCTCTTAAATGTCAGTGTTACTTCTAGTTTTGTTCCACATTATCTTTTTTAATTTCCAATGTTTTTCCAAGGAATATTTTTCCTCCCATTTAGCCTAAATCATCAATATATTAGTACAATATCATTTCATTATAACCTACATACGCAGCACATGATAATTTCTTTATTAAAAGAGTAAAATGATCTGTATCTATTGTCAATTATCAAAGTAATCGCATTTTCCCACGTATTTATGATAAGTATTTGTATCTTTTTATTATTTAGTGTGTAAAATGTATATTTGTTTGTGTAAGACAAATTTTAAAATACTTGGTAAAATAAACACGAAGTTTTTCCCGAATTTGATGTCCAGCGTTATCTGTTTGACAGGTGATTTTATTCTTTCTAATTTATATCTCTTCATTTATATTTTCTTCTTGATATCTTACCACATATAGCTTCAGACGACGACGCTGTGTGTATCCGTGAGCATATGTGCATCCGTGGCGCTCGCCTGTCTCTTCGCGCCCAAAGTTTACATCATCGTCTTCCAGCCTCACAAGAACGTGCGTAGACTCAGTTCCCATTCGTCTCGACGCTCGCAATACGACGGCACACGGTTCCGGGACGAGGTGAACAATCACAATCTGTACAACAGCGGTTAGTCCCAAACCTAGCTGCAGGTGGATGCATTTAGAGGGTATTTTTAAATGCTTTTCTGTTCCCCAAAATAGTCAAAGTTTCATCTTGAGGCAGAGCTATCATGCCTCACGGATTGTCTGATTTTTGAAAGCGAACAAAGTGCTTTAACCGACTTAGAACAAACCCAGCCTAAACCGTATTGGACAAATCTTATTGTTTCAAATCCACTTTTTATAAACCCATTTCTTAATCCCCAACAGAAAATTCCCTGCTATTCATTACCTCTTATTGTCTTTGGGGCTTTAAAAAAAAAAACTTGTGGATGTTTTTCGCAAAAAAATCCTTAGTTCTGCTATAGCAGTACCCCGATACATTTCACTATCACGTTAAAAAAAAGTGTTATCGTAACGAGTGCTCCTATCATGTAATTGTTTACTCATTTATCTATTTTTCCTAAGCCAAACTGCACAAAAAGCCACTATTTATCCAATTTTCTTTTGCTCAGACTTTTCCGACAATGTTTCATTCAATATTTTGCACTCGCGAGCTTTGCATGCATGAACTCATATAATAGCATCCATCTCATTCTTAAATGTCACTTTTTTTCTAAGAGTTTTCAGCTGTTCCCACTGATTCTTCCCATATACTCCATATTTATCTATCGCTTCTGTGCTATGCTTACACTTAACCACGCATAATATGACACAGCACGTAGTGTGTGGTAAATGTGCCTTGTCACGGCTGGTGTGGGAAAAGCAGAATAGCCAGTGGGAACAGCATTTCGTGTATTGCTGTTACGTGTCTTGTGTTTGTGATTACATAAAACGTACTGATGTTTGCTTGCCTCACTGTATGAGGAATGTCCATTTTACCTAATATATAAATTGTAGTTATGGAGAGAATCACACTGATGAGGTAAAACGGGGATATGAAAAGATACATGCATTCATTTTTTCATCCATGCATCTACATTTATTCATTCAAATTCATTTTCATAAAAAGGTAAAATCAAGTGAAAGTACCTCTTTATCCATATAAAGAATAAAGGCAACCATAAATGAATCTTATGAAACGAAATGCGAGAACTTAGAGAAGGTACAACTTTGTGCATTTTCGAGAAGCACAATGCTTTCAGGTTGAAAACCATTAGGTGTGCCTTTAAAATGCATTTACAATCTTCGATACGCAAGTGAGCATTTTTCTTTTAAGAAATGTCTATGTCAATAATTGTATGCAGATGAAATTTGTACAAAATATATGCACGAACTGCTTTATGGCCAATTTATTCCTACATCGATTCACTTAACTTTTTAAAAGGAGACCATTTTTTTTTTCTAGTTTCGCTTGACTATTTCATTGTTTCGTCTTCAGTCGTTTGGAGATACACAGATTCATTGATCAATATCAAATAGGAATAGTGTTTACACCTTTTACCTTACTGCTCTCGACCCGAAGTTTTCTCTAACCTAGTGCACAAAATAAGCAAATATGCTAGAAAAGTGAATGTAGCAAAGAACTGCACACTAAACAGTAGCATTGTTTCAATCATCCAAAATTTTCCTTGTGTTAGCCAACCAGAGTGTACCCTTTGTGAATGAATATCAAGAGTGATCTAAAAGGCCATTCACTTGATCTATAGCAGTGATATACTCTAACGCAAAAATGCAAATGATTGATATTAATCACTTTGGAAAGAATTGGTTAATTTTTATTTCGTATTGATGATGATGATCTACAGCACTTGTATGGTGCCATTCAGAGGCGGTTAAATGATTCAGTCTTGGACTTTTTCCAGGATCAACTCAGAGATAATTAAGGTTGTTAATGTTACTTTGTTTAGGACGTCGGGAAAGTTACAACAATACTACCGAACTTCCGTTGGCTCCTAATTAAATTTTCAGTTTTATTTTCCAATTTCCAGGTTCCGTCCAAAGACCTCGACCGCATGGCATCAAATTAACACCTCACGCAACACATTACGATAGCCAAGACACCGATGGAGAAACCAGTCAAGCCTATCTGTGACGTAATATGACTTCACCTACCCATAATGCAATATATTATAAAACACGTGTCCAATCGAAGTCCTACAGCGACAGATTTAATCGACTCGGATACCCAAAGAAGAGGAAATTTTATAACAGCGCCAAGATGAAACTAAATTTGATTCTATCGTTACACGATGACATCTAGAATGTTGATGTTGATTCCGAGGAGTGTCATCGTTTCGCTATGTAAAGTGATTAAGGTAAACATTGCATTGCAGGCAAACATTGGACTAACTTCATTAATGGCATATTCGGTGACACTATGTATCGGACTTAACACCTAAGTTGAATAGAGCGAGTGAAATATGGTTTTATGCTGGTTGGTTGAGCAGAGGACAGCTAACGTGTCATCTTTATGATCATCAAACATAACCACTGCAGTTGTCCAACACGTGATATCTCACCCTTCATACAGAGTATTGCATATCATGTGGTTTCGTCAATCACTCAAGGGTTTCGCGATGGTATCACGACAATGCCCCCTCTCTAACCTCGCACCACGCGAGCTGTGAATATGGACTTACAACAACGTCAATAAACTGAAGTACGTTGTCTTTTCACGGAAGAAAAAAGTTTATCCTAGAGGGTTGTTTATCATCATAAACTACTTTGGACCGTTATTTTACTTGATGCTATGAAAACGACATCGATGGCCATCATTCGTCACCCTCACGAAAGGTCAAACCACTGTGTCACCACGAAATATCACCTGGTTCATGGACGGACAATCACGTGATAAGGAGAGGGCGCGAACCGAGACCACGTGAACACCCTGTAAAAGTGCGCCATTTTAACGCCATCAATCACTCTGCCCGTCATGTCATGATCAATCTAACCCATCGGTGACCCGGCACCAAAGGTGTGACAGAAATCAAAGGCTCATCGTGTATGGTCGTCTTCTGAAGCATCGTGGAAAATCTAACACTGGTGAGGTACGAGATGGAGATAGAATTGTACATCTTGGGAAAGTGTCGTCATGCCAATGGCATTTTGTGCTAGATTGTATAGGTTTTGATGCTAGCCGCTACATGAGAAAACAATAAAGTATGTACTCAATCAAATCTTGTTTGTGAAAGAGACTGCACATGAAAACTCCCAAAACGCACATCAGGTTTTGGACTTCTAGATGAATGCAGCCAAGCACAATGATCAAATCTCTCTTCAAAATGTGATTGTGGATGCGATTTGTTAGGATTTGATTAGCGGCAAATAGCAAACTCGATCCAAATCTATCGAACCGCATGTGCATGTGATGGGCCTGAAGCTATATTAGTTGATGCAATTGTGAGGATTTGATGACAATCATCTTGGGGAACAGACCAAGTTTTTATTTCCGACAATGATCGCCTGTCACCCCCGCAGCGTCAAAAATGTGACGTCGACGCGATGTGCTCGCCGTTGAATCATTTAATTTTTTCTTTTACCAACTGCTACCCCATTGGGAAATCAATCTTGGATATCTGCAGAAAAATAACCGCATCATGGATACTGACGGAAAGCTGAATTGAATGTGCAGTGAGGATTTGTGCGTAAACATATTTTGATGGGTTGTGCGGGAGCGCAGGGAGTCTGGTAGGGTATCACTTGCTTCTTCTGGAGGGTGATTATTTTATACCATGTTATGGATCTGATATGTGACAAGTCTTTGGGAAGAGGAAAACAAGTATCCAATTGGATGTCATCCCTTTTGCGGAAGGCATCTTTCTCAGTGCAGCTGTGGTCCTTTGAAACGCAAAGTAACGATCCACCTGTGAGCGGAAATCAATAGATCTACGGTAGATGTGTAGTTATGCTGCTGAACAGGAATATTCTATTCAGGATACGAAGCTTGCGGTGGGAGCATCGTGTTCTCCTTTTTAGAGCTCTATCAGTTGAGTCTAACGACCACAAAGAGCAAAATAGACGAATGATAATGAATATCTCCAATATACTTTCAGGTGGTGACTCAATAGGCTGAACATTGCAGTAAACTAAATTCATAATGGCATTCTTAAAACTGACACATTTTTTCTAACGATAAACACGAAGAAAAATAAGAATGAGTCCAATTGTACAAGAGAACTAATATTATTTTGCTCGAAACTCGAATATAAACAATTTTAAGCATAATTTAGTATCAAATAATAGTATTAAACAGGTACTTAATATGTCAATTTCGACTTTAAAGCAAGTCAAAAACTAAATCACAGTGTTATTATTATTATTATTATCGCACAGATTGTTTACTACATAACATACTACTCTCCCCCTGTTTGTTATCATCTACGACCTGGGAGGTGTTTCACAAAGACTAAGACGAACTTTAAGTTGGACTTAACTATGACAGGCTGTTCATTCCACTGCTTCCTCTCACTATTTACTGGCATTGGTCTCACATCTACAGAATTGAGCTTTTTTGATAGTTCATTATTGAAGGACAAAATGTTATTTAAAATTCATAATGATGAGAGCAAACAGTGGCAGCAAACAGTGGCATGAACAGCCTGCCATAGTTAATTCCAACTTAAAGTCGAAAAAAAACCTGATGTTTATTTTGGTCGTTAATTGAACTCGAAATATTGAATGTTCCTCATTATGTCAGTAAACGCAGCTAAACTTAATGTTATACTTCCTGTAAAACTCTGGACTCACTCTCTCTTTAGATAATTTCTTTACTGCTCTACCAACCTCATCTCCTTTAGTCCTCCTATAGTATTTCGCTCTGTCGGCTTCCTCATCGAACAAAAATGATTTCGTGTAACTTAACCCAAGTAAAACCGTATGAGTATGACTGTATTTTACCATTAATGTTATTGTCTATGATTATGATTATTTCTTTTTGCAAACTGATCTGTAAACTTTGACCATTGAAAAATGAATTTCCGAATGATAGGACTAATTTCAAGTTTCAGAGAGGACGAATCCCAAATAACGAGAGATAATATTGGACATCGAGGGTGCAAATATGCGCCTTAGAGGTGCATTATGTATGAGTTTAACCCTAAGGGTGTTGCTGTTACATGTACGAGTTTGACATTTAGGCTAAAATTTCGGCTTAGTTGCTGTATGAAACCGTTGATAGTTTGGCCGAAGTGATTTTCATGATGTATGAATATTTTACATTTTCAATTTTCAACGCTCTGGAGTTTGAATTCGAGGTACATGACGAAATATACAAAATAATACTAAATTATGGTTTCTCTGTAATTTCTTTAATTGATGGTTTGATTTAAATAAGAAAAATGTTAACCTTGATTAACTGAATTCCTTTTTGAAAATGCTGTCCGTAGATTGTCGCAATATATCTAGTTGTGACTTTCATTTCCCGATTCTTTTCATCTACCCTCACTATAGTATATTTCTTTTGCTGTCATTTACTCTTCGTTTCCCTTATCGTCAAATCCCTATTTTTTCGTTCTTTCTCTCTTCATGCATCCTTTCTCCTTTTTCTCCGTTTTTGTCACTTGCTATTTTCCGTTCCTGTAATTTCTCATTTATTTGTCTATAATCATAGTCGTGAAAAGCTCTGCCAGACATAACAACGTGATGATGAATAGCATGGACACTTTAGTATTTTGGTCCAATAAAACTATGCACTTTAATTTCGGCAGGACGCATGCACATAACATTTCTTGCATGATAAGTTATGTGCGTGAAGTATGCTCCCAAATCAGAGCAAGATTAGATAGAGTATAACATGTTCATGTAAATAGTTATATCAATATTTCAAGAAAATTGTACGACATTGCGAAATAATTCTTTTTTTTATAGAAAAGTACTGAAAGAAGAAAGATAGTCAAAGAGATGGTTTAGCCATATTAAAAATGATCTGAAAATTTGTATATTTTGTTAATTCGTATAATTGTACTTAACCGAATAAATAATGTAAACTTTATGAAAGTCCACATGTTTTATTGAGTGTCAGTTTTTTTTCTCCATAATGGTCCATTGTCATATTTTTCTGATCATGCCACAATCATACTGAGAATTCGATGAAAAGAAAATATGTGACATAAATCATCATTGACCAAGAATGTCCAGCAACAATCTGTTTCATGCTATGAATGGTAATGACAGACGTAAAGAGGTGAAGGGAAAGTGGGAGAAAGAAATACAAATGCAAGGAACAAGTATATATTGATCCGTGTTCGGTAAAATAAATAGGACCGTGTACTTTACAGACCAGCAATACACAGGGGCGGCGGGGGACGAAATGCAGGATTTTCTACAATATTAACTTGTACATTTTGGGATATTATTCGAGGGTTAAAGGGATAGTTGAGTTCTATTTTCATACCGCAAATGCCTTCGAAGTTCATGGTTATTGCTCTTATTCTTATCTGTGACATTTCTAGTGCCCTTTTAGAACCTAAAATTGCTATGAAGGTAATATTAGAGCCCAAAATATGTGAAATTTAGCCAATACGATCGTACCAATTCAGCTCCAAAAAACAAGGTGACCGTTAATTAATTATTTAATTAAAAATAAGAATACATGGGCCAGCTGGTTGTGCGTAATATCAGCAACACGAAAATGCCAACAAAAAAGCCAACATCGGCATTGGCTGAAATACGACGTAAAAGGCGTTATTTCGTTTTTTCAACGGTTTTTAAAAAAAATTCAAATTTTTCAAAATGTCTAATATTTGTGGTGGTACACAAGTATTATAAATCGTAATATTTCACCCGTCTCTGAACCGATTTTGATGACACAAATATGATTTTGTCAATTAAATATTATGTTCTTTCAAATTTGACACTCAGTTTTTCATTATTTCACAACAAAATTATTTTGTGTAGCGCCCTCTGCAACAGAACTCAACTATCCCTTTAATATTTGCTATACTTTTTTTTTTGCTTTTTTTCAAAATTTCCGGGGGGGGGGGGGAACAGTACCTCCTTAAAAAGATGATGGGGGACGTGACCCCCGTCCCCACGGGATCGACGTCCCTGACTATACCTACATTTAAACGGAAACAGCCAAACCTAAATAGTGAGGAGAGGATTGTAATGTTTAAAGAAATGAGTTGGAAGAAACAGAGATAGAAGAGAAACGGGATAAGAAAGAAGACAGCGAGAGAGAGAGAGAGAGAGAGAGAGAGAGATAGATAGAGAGTGAGAGAGAGAGAGAGAGAGAGAGAGAGAGAGATGCAGCTGAACATGGGTTTAGAGAGTATCAGAGCAAAATCCAGACAGACGAACGAACAGACATACAAGGAAGAGGTCATTGATCTGTCGCTTGCCAGAACAGTCCGCCAGGTGGCGCTCCCCATGCATTCTTTGGTCAACATATTGAGTATAAATTTCATATCACTTTCAAACTACTCTTCCTTTGTACGAGTAATCCATTGACAAGTTCAAGACGTGTTCATAGTACATTTGTTTTCCCATCACTTATTAATTGAATAATACTTACATTAAAAACACATAATTATACAAAGAAGAACTCATGAATTATACTTATATCATAAAAATAATTATACGTTTTTGAACATAATTAACAATTATTTTCAGAGGTGATACTTTTCAATTTTCTCCCTCCATAATGTTTCCTTTAACGAAATTTCGAATATGTTCGTTAAAATAAATTCTCATGTTTATATACACAACAAATAAAATGAAATTTCACAGGACAGTTTGATGACGACTACTTATGAAATGAAAACAGAGCTCTGTTATTTTATTCTCAAAAGTTTATGTACTGTTACTGCGAGATCCTCAAAATCCATTGTGAAAAGCATTATCCTTCAAAAATTCATACGGAAAGACATGCATTCGGGGCTCTACCAGATCATTTTTAATGAGTGGGGGAGGGGGAGGGGAGGGGGAGGGGGGGGGGGGGGGGGAAGGCATATCCAAACAATTTTCTTTATCCTTACCCCCAACTTCAAGCCCTACCACAAAAAGCCGCGATGCATGCTCAAATTGCTTTCTCTGCATCATTTGAGCTTGATTAACTCCATAATACATCGTAATCAATGGCATGTGGTTGTCTTTGGGGATACCTTGTTTGCCATGGATGCACCTGCATTCGATGACCTTGGCAGTGAGGCTGGTAGGTGGGGGTGGACTTAAGGAGGTCAAGAACCTTCTAAATGGAAGGGAGAGGTCTTCCGAACTCCGCTCCCGAAAGAAATACCCAGTAAATCTCATTCAAGAGCTAGTACATATCCCGGAAAAACCTGAAACGGCATTAAACAAATTACCTTTTGGAAGCAGTATCTGCCACACTCTCCCATCCTTCACCTATTTGCGAGCAAAGGGAGGGCTATTGATGAGATTCCCGAAACCATCCATGCTCCCATAGAAAAAAAAATGTTAGGATTTTCATTTCGCTACAACCTCTTTAATATCATCAAAACAAAAAAGTAGGAAACAAGACAAGATCTCCCAACTCATGAAATATATGGATTGCTTTTCTACATCATAAGACATATTCAGCATTTTATTCAAAATGCTTTATTGATGCGGATTGTTTGGGGATTATTTTTTAATATATGTAGTTTTTTAATTTTTAAAGGCCTGCGAAAATTGGATTAAGCTTACTTTTTTTTCAATATCAAAATATATTGGATGTATTTCAAGTAGGCATACATAGCTTTTGTGTTAAGAAAAAAAAAAAAGGAAGAAGAAATGAATTATGAATTCATATCTCAATTTCTGGAATGCGCCTCATTTTGCTTGTGATTCACATTATCAATCCATACATGTTTCAATATAACTTCCATTTTGCGTTTATAAATTTCATACAAAATACCGGTATTCACGGATACATTGATAATTGTTCAACTGAGTTCATACTATTTGTCCCTATTCCAAATAATTCAATAAGAACTAATGAATTTCCGGACCTCGACATCACAAAGAGGGCAACTTGTAATCAATATCAATCAACGAGGCTATGTACAGGTATATTGATGCATAACAGTCTGGTGACGAGAATCGGTGAATGTTTGATTCGATTTGTTCACCTTGGCAATGCTCAAAACGGCAGAAGAACTCAACACAGACAACTTTCACCTTGCTCATAAGCGATAGATATTCATAAAACCAATCAACTGTAAACTTTCTGTCGGCCCAATCTCCTTCCGCCCTCTTCCTACAAAACATATATTTTGTGTTTTGTGGGCGGTACATTATTCAGTTGATTGCTCAAGGTTAGGAAAAGGTCTCATGGTATGATTAAAGATTATGGATGGAATACAAAATAAATATTTTTAATGGTGTAATTGCTATTATATTCGAAGTATTTGAATGGCAGATCGTAAATAGGTCAAGTCAACTCCTTTAAATATTCACTAATAGATGTTCATGTGCCAATTTGGTTTTGTGTGCATTAACCTAAATCATGTGAAGCGTATTGCATTTCTTTCCTCGATACCTTTAAACTCAAGACATAAATAATGCAATCGGCACATGTTT